ACGCGATTTTATTGCGACCATCGCGAATCGTGATCGCCGATTGGAATTTTCGCGCGCCGCGCCGCTACAACGCCGTGCGCGATAATAAATCGGGCGTATCGCGAAGCAACGGGCGTTAATTGATTGATACGCGTGTAATGATCCCCGGTTGCCGGCGAAGTCATCAATTCGCATCCGTGTTGACCCACCGAAATTGATATTACCTAACATAGACGTCGACGCGCGATAGCATGCGATAGCATTATCGTCCTATTATCGCCGGACATCTTAGTCGATAAGAGCGTCTCTACGCTTCGGAGCGCGCACGCTTCGACGCAGCCGCCGCGTAACGTTAATTAGCGAAAGTTACGCGCGATGACGATATTATCTCATCTCTCGTCTTCGACTGTGACTAATGAACTTCTCTTTGTTAGCTCGAGCAACTTTTGCCCTCCGGCGGTGTTCGCGCCGAGAAACGAAATTTCACAAAATATGGCAGAGCCATACGAACGAGCCATTGTGCTCCACGGACTGACGGACCATTAAACATTCAATCGCAATTCCTTGTCAAACCGCGGAGAGAAGCGTGAAAAACGCGAACCATACACGCGTCGTATAATTTTTACATCAAATATCAGAGTTTTATGCGATAACAGACTGACGTCGGTCATAGTGGTGGCCGACACTATCGTCGTTGCTTTACGAGTTTCCGTCTCTCGTCAATAAATTCGGCCTCGCCGATAAACACTAGTGCCAGTCACATATATCTTATGTTGCATGTTAATTATTACTAAAAAAGTATCGCGCGCGTGGCGGAGAGAAAAATATATTTACGTGTGATATTCACACTCGTCGTCTCATTTTATCGTGACGTCCTTGCGTCCTTGTATCACTGCGCATTGTGTGTCCCCGCAGTAGTTCCTCCAGCACTCTTTATTAGCGATGAACGCGGGAATATTAAACAAGAGGATACGAGAGTGAGAACGATCGCGTTCCGATACCGTCCGACGCCGCGGACGTCACGCCGAAAGACTCTCACGAATTCCCACCACTGCTCTGCGCGATGTAACGGATTGGTCCCGGCACTAGCCATTTCTCACGCAAATCCGCTCTTTACTCTCTTATTATCATCATAACTCCTATAGTGTCGCGTCCTAGCTCATAGTGTCGCAAGAAACGACGAAAAAAAAACGCTCATAGGAGACAAAGGAAGGGAGGCGAGGATGTAACCAGCCGCAGTTGGCACGTAAGCTATTCCAGGGCAGATTTCAAGTTCGCCGACGAGATTCTCACCTACAAATAGTTCGCCGAGCTTTATTGTTTGCCTCAGGCAAAGGTAAGACACGGCAGGATGTGCTCGCACGCCCTGAGCCACTCTCTCGCTTCATCCTGTCGCGGCTTTTGCGTTTGCGTCCTGCCGCATAAATTACGTTAGCGCCAGTTCATCAACTTTCGTGCGAGCAAACTTTCCAGCGGATTCTCGTTTCGGATTATTACTGCCCCGCAGCAGGGGGTTTTAGCGTAATTGTGAAACCGCAAGCGCTTGACGTCGATAATTTATAAACTAATATTGAACGAAATTGTGTGCGCGCGCGCGCGTACTTTTTGCAACTCGTCTCGCGTAATAGACGAGTTTGCGAGAGAGATTATTGTGCATTTTTGTTTCTCTTTTAATTCAATTACTACGTCCGGGCTATGAATATCCCGTAATTAGTGACGTCGACGGCACGTCGTTGCGCATGACAGCGCGAGAGGAAATTCGGGACGAAGAGAAAATTGACGGCCATAAAACGCGCGATCGCGCGTTACTGTGCAATGTTCCGTGGGACAAAGATCCCGGTCGACGGTAAATGGTGCTGTTACTCAGCTTCTTCGATATACTACTTTTTCGACTTTTTCACATAAATTGCTCGATCTTGTGCTGATCCTCTTTTGATCAAGTTTGAGGAAATCGCCGCGATACCGAGTAGGTATGGAATCAGCGTTGAGCAAATCAAATCCTGACTTTCCAATTTTCTATCGGATTAAGGATCTCGATCTCCTTTGTGCGGATGTCACGATCGCGCGATAGAGAGAGGGAGAGAGAGAACGAGAGAGAGAGAGAGAGAGAGAGAAAGTCTCTTGATATTCGAAACCGCGGACACACCGGTCGCAATATTCATCGCGATGCGTTATCGAACACGTCGCGCCTAAACACGCTACGATAACGACGTGGAAATTACAACAGGTGCATTCCCGTCGAGACGGTCACGTTTATTATCGGCGTTTATCTCCAGAGACTCATGAAAGAGACGACACGAGTGCGACGCGGAATCGCAGAGCCGGCGGGGGAAAAAAGCGCGCCGGCAGAAGTGATTAATCGCACCAACGAAATTTACGTGTCGTCAACAGAGGCGCAATATCGAATCGAAAGTGGGGGCGACGCGGGGGCGGCCAGGCGCGGGAAACACGTCGCGCTTTAGTCAAGGGTAAACATTAAAGCTCCACAAATTGCTCGCGGCAGGGTGACGGCACTCGCAAGCCGAGTCAGGAGACGCGCAAGACTAAGCGCAGCTTCGGTCGTTTCCTGGTTGCTTCCGCATGTTTGTCCGCCTCAAATACGTGCCTCCCACGACGCGCTGCCACGAGGGGGTGCCAGGGAAAGGAAAGGAAAGGAAATGAAGACGAGAAGCGATCGCGGACCGGGTGGAGCGGGCCGCGTCGTGCTTAGCATCGTTTCACGGCTCTGAAATGCGAGCGGAATCAATTCGCGACGTGACCGCCCCCTTCGATCGCGCCGGAAGCTACCGCTAAAAACACCCCTCGGCAGATAATAGGGCTACGCGCGATCCTAGGGGAGAGAGAGAGAGAGAGAGAGAGACCTCCTCTTCGTCTGCTTCACGGCGGTGTACAATTAGCGATTCCTCGCGGACCGCGCAATCTGGGTCGAACAAATCGACAAAGAAACTGGAAATCGCTGGAAATCATGTGGGAATCAAATTGAAATTAACAATTGACTTGATATTTTTAAGATCTCATCGCGATATCTGCAAGATAATGTATAAAATGTCAATATATCCATATATCGACTCGATATACCATAGATATAACAACACCATCATCGATAATTGGCCAAAACAATATTGGCAAACGTCAGTAGCAAATCCGACAGTATCAATCAAGAATCCAGTCTAAACAAAAATTGCACGGCATATAAAATCGTAGAAGTTTTGTTTAAAAATTCTTTCCAATAATTCTCTGCAATAATTGTCGAGATAGCATAAAGAGAATGAAATCTTGAAGAGCAGTTTCACTCCTTAAACCTGAGCCATTGCCGATAAAAAAAATATGGGATAAAAGAAATATATCTCTCATTATTGGCTATTCTACATATATGCCAAGTCTCGTCGAAATCGGAGACACTCACTTCGCAGATGTTTCTTGTTAATCAAATCGAACGGTCCGAACCTAACCGAGTAATCGATTCGATTGTTGCTTTCAAAGCAACGACCGGCAAGCATGTCGAGATATTTTTATTTCAACCGAACGTGGAATCACTTTTCGCATCGCCAGCATCGCGCCAGCAGCATCGCGTGGGTAGTCTGATTATGTTGATCTCCATTTTGTCCGTTCACTCGTTAATGAGCAAAATTTGAATATTACTCAATCTATAGTTTTCATCAACCGTGCTAAATGAAACGCAACAATCCCCGTGCCGGCGGCACCTCAATACGAGATATAACGAGAAGCAGCGTCAATATCGGCATGCATGCACGAATTCAATTTTTGGCCTGGTAAATATAATACCTCTCGTAAATATAATATCTCTCGGCTCGCGCGCATAGTAGCAAATCGCGTAGCGGGTCGCAGGGACTTTTACCGCGACGGTAAGGGAGCAGTCGGGACAGATAACGAAAAATCAATAAGCGCAACGCACACTACACTTTGTTTATCTCTGCGTTAAACATTCCGCTCATTCGCATTTAATGAACACGCTTACCGTGGAATTAATAAAGCGGGCGCGCGTGGAATGGCCAAGTCCAAATGGCATCCACCTCTGGTTTTGTTTCCCATCGATCCTCACGCTTTGTCGAAATCGCGCGTTTCCGCACGGCGCGGAACGCGCGCGCGCGCGAAAAGAAACAGCGTTTCGTGTCTCGTCAGCGAGCTCTCTGACGGCACGGGGGATAAATAGCATAATGAATGGAGTTAATTCGCGCGATGTCACCGTCGAATTCTCTATAATCCGCTCTCGCTGAATATTACATTTTCCATCAGCGTTTCCGGCGAGAACGCGACGTTGTCCTCCTCCTTGCCCTCGTCCTTGTCGTTGTCGTTGTCGTCGTCGTCGTCGTCGTCGTCGTCGTCGTGACGGGCAGATTAGAAGCGGCGCGTAACTTCGACATAGCGTACCGTGAATTTCATAATTCATGGAAATAAACGCGCACACGCGACTAACGGCGTTACAATTAATATCTGGCGGGCTTCGCTACGTGCTCGCATGCTCGCGTGCTCGCACCCGCGCGTTCGCGTCTTCCCGAGACTGCAGCCTGCGCCGTCGCGCGTTCTCGCCGCGCCACATTTTCACGGCGCGCGCTTACTTTCGCATTTAATCTCGTTGAAATCGCAATTCCGCGCAATTCATGTGTTCATTAATACACCTATGTTTTAGCGAACACAATTTGGCACTGCCATTTGTCATGTTAAATCCGATCCGGGGTTTTCACGATACCTGCACTCCGGAAGAGTCGCGGGAATATGGGCGAGGATAAATGAAAAGCAGGCTTGCAGGACGATTATTATAACGGTTCTTCTTCTTCTCTCCGCGATTTTCAGAAACGGTCACATTCTATTTTAATGATTCTTAGTCGCGCCAGAACGGTAATCACGAGCCGTCTCGCGGAGCGGAGCGCTAATTAGTCCCGACGGAATCACGGCGAACGTCGCCCGGGATATTCGGTATTCTGCGATATGGAGTCTTTCGACCAACAACGTGACGATATAGACGACATTGAACAAAGTCGAAAATTCTATTCTTGCAGGCCGAGCCGGCGTTGATGTACGACAGCGTACAGGTGTTCGCAGTGGGATTACGCACCCTGGAGCAATCCCATGCTTTAAGACCCGCCAATATCTCCTGCGAGCTCGAGCACCCCTGGGACGGCGGATTATCCCTCACCAACTACATCAACTCGGTGAGTTTTCGCCGCTGCGTCTTCCCCGGCGCTGATTTAGATCGCTCGCGGTACAATGCGCGAGGCTATTCGGTACGACTCGCTCGGGTCGTATGATAAACGATACGCAAATCTCAATTTGGCGCAGCCCATTCATTGCGGCGTATCACGCTCACGGCGAGACGTAACAGCGGGATGTCGTCTCGCTATTAACGGCCGAGGAAGAGAGCGCGAATCGATCGGGCGCATTCGGGAGAAGTTGTCATTTCCATAAATGCACCCGCTCGGGAAATATCCTCGGGACCACCACCACCGAGGGGAGTCTATCTGTATTCGTCCTTAACGCGGCGACTCGCTTATCCGCACGTCGAGGCCGCGACGTTCGCGCCGTAAATACACCCGCGGGATGTATTTTAATTTTTCATAACACCGTCCGCATACATTCTCGACAATATCACTGAGTCATCCCTCGCCAGCTACCTTCCTCGTGCCCACCTCTCCCGCTGCCCAGCTACTCACACAACTTCTCGCGAGAATACGTTGAAAGGGAGAAAATCTGCGCCAAGGACCCCTTCCTCCGCCCCTCCTCCGCCATCGCTCTTTAAAAGCAGCACTCGCCAGATCCGCCCGGAGGAGGCACCTCGAGGGGCAAGAAACGTGCTGCGGTGGCTTACCGTAAATTACCGACGGTAAGATCTGGCCGGTGTTCAAAACAAACGATATCCGATATAGCGGCACATCCTCGTTTCCGCTCCGTTCGTGCAAATATTTAACGCGACGCGAGGGAAACACATCGCGTATATCCCGCGCCGGCTACGTGCCAGGCACGTGGAATCTGGAAAGTAGCTTCTCGGCCGGGAAGACTTTCATTCACGAGCAGAAAATTTTAGAATCGCGACGCGAAGTGGTGAAGAGGTTATCTTGAGATCGTTCGATTTCCCCGTTTCGATCAAAACCCGCCCTGGTGGCTTCGTGTTAAATAATTGATGATGCACTTCGAAGAGGACAAGCGATTATCGTAGGCTGTATATCGGAACACTCGAAATGTTTGAATACCTTGAGACTTGGAATAGAGAAAGAAGAGACCGAATTTGACTCGAGCGTCCGGCTCGATTTGCATGAACGATGCGAGCGCAAGGTCTACGTTCCTAGAATACTCGAACGGCTCTTGAGGTGATGTAGACGGGGCTCGTGACGAGCAATTTCGATTTCGAGAGAACATCTAGACACGCTGGGAGGAACGTGTTTCTATAAATTTCAATCAACGTTTTGCGCGCGCGAGCCCGTGTCGCCCGTACCAGACACACATACAGGCGTAGCGTATAGCAGCGCAGAGGCGGATAAATTGTTTAATACCATGATGGACGATTCCAAAGCTGTCACAGACAGAGGCCACAAATCCTTCCGTGATGCTGTACTTCCCCTTTTCAAGCTGTACGACATTCTTCAACGTTCCCGTGTCCGACAAGGTACGATATCTGGCTGCGGTGTTTCGGGATTGATACTCGCAAGAAGAACGCGGATATTGTTCTTTCATAAAGCATGTCCCGCACGTGCAACGCATTTCACGCGCATTTCGCGCGAACGGCCCTTACAGTTTGCGCGCGAATTATTATTCTCTCGGGAGTAGCGGTATAAATCTGCGAATAGCTTGCTGCGCTCGCTTTCAATTGTCCTCGCTTTTTAATCACGCTCGTCGATTATCTCGAGCATTATCGTATCGGCGATTGAATAAAAGACGTTTACAATTAATACATAGAGAGATTTGTGTCTGTTACGTTTTTTGATGGTTAACGCAGAACCTCGCATCTGCGCGTCACTAAATGATCTCTGATCACTTCCGTTTTTGCGGTAATAAAAAATAGTCGTCGCGCGCAATGGACTTTTCGACGCGCGGCACACTCATCCAATCTCTCTTACACACGTTCGATCCAATTTTCGCGATTTTGATCCGGCGACCTTCGTTAAACCGGAAGTCCGTCGTACCCTCTGAGCCGCCGCATAGAGTTCAATTTTCCCAAATTGTACGGACTTTCGTAACCTGGCGTACGTGACTTTCGCGCTGCTTGTTAGGAAACAAAAAGTTCGCACAGTAAATGCACCGGCACGAGAGACCATTGGAGAATTTGAACGCGGATAAAGCAAAAGGGATGAGAAAAGTGGAGGAAACAGAATTCGATGTTGGAGAACGGAGTGATAAGAGAGAAAAGGCGAGACAGAGAGAGAGAGAGAGAGAGAGAGAGAGGGCGAGAGAGAGAGAGAGAGAGAGAGAGAGAGAGAGAGAGAGAGAGAGAGAGAGAGAGAGAGGAGAAAGCGAAGACGAGCGTTCCCTTTTCTCAAAGAGAGACGAGTAAGACGGAACAATGAAAATTACTCGAATATCTCCTTGCCGGAAAGGAAGATGATAGCTGTTAGTAACTGCGCGTTTTTGCACATCGCGCTGTCTCCTGTAAATTAGTCAAAGCGCTCGTAGATGAAAGGAAACGCGCGGTGAACCCCGGGCACACCGTGCGGAATTAAACCAACTGTCGCATCGTCTTAAGAGCACGGCAAACATCACGTGCTCCGTCTCTCGTTCCGCAAGTGAAATAACATCGCGCGCATCCGCGGCGTACAATGCGACCAACGCCGCGCGCATTTGCGGCGCGACGTCTTTGCTACCTGCATTCATAATTAGTTAAGTTTACCACCACGTCTACTCTCCCTCTCCCCCCTCTCCCCAGCTGCAAGTTCAACCGCTCCGTATCCCAAGTCAGCGAAAGTCGCCTTCTGTCCGTCCAATCTCCCTCGCTCAGACTTCAGACGAGGTAGAGAGAGGGTAGAGGGGGGGGGGGGAGAGAACATGGTTTCTCTCGAATGCGGCCCCCGACCATCGTAGTCCGAACACCGGTACACCTTACGCGCTCGGCCATTAATTTAATAGCGCGGTGGCCACGGAGATTCCAATATCGGAGCTTCTAATCGACCTGAAGATATTTACGCTGGTCCCTCGGTAACGCCGTCGCCGCCGCCGCCGCCGCCGCCGCCGCCGCCGCCGTCGCCCCTGGCGTCGTCGTCGTCGCTGGAATTCCGGCACAACGGCAGCCGTGCCGACGGTGTTAGATTATGACGCCGCCGAATATGTCGAAATTGAATTAGCGACGCAGGCTCGCGCCGACGCGCGTTCGGATACGTGTCCATCTTATGCGCGACGGCGAGACCGATCAATGGACCCACGTGGTGCGCGATACGATTCGCATAAGCGGCCGAGAGCGAGCGAGACCGGCTATGAATACACATTCGCGCGTGAATGCGGCTATCGCGATATGCGCCGCGCGCGCGTTACTGCGATACGGCAGGCGATATAACGCGGCAGACGCGCGCCTTCGAGCCCGCTGAATATTCGCGTGTCTCTCCGGAATTTCCCAAAGATAAGAGCAGATGCTTCGGACTGTACGGCGCCCTTAACTTATTGAATTCCTCAGATACGCCGCGCACGTTTTTACGTCGGGCGTTTCCGCGCCGCCGTACTTCTTTTTTTCATGGCGCTTTCATCGACGCGAGTCTTCGCTGGGGCGAGGATACGTGGGATTTATCATAATCAGGAAAAGAGAGAGAGAGAGAGAGAGAGAGAGAGAGAGAGAGGGAGAGAGAGAAGAAAAGAAAAGGAAAAGAGAAATTTCTCTGCACCGTTGCCTCTCTTCGTCCAGAGTTCGCCAGTTGTTTAAGGTTCAAGCCTCGAAGAGCCGTGCGTTTTGAAAAAGAACGCTCGTATCTTCCCCGGAAACTTCATTCGAGAATTGCTCGCGAGAATTTGAAGTTTGCACGCTCGATTGAACGCTGGAAGGAATTAAAGCATACTGGGGAAACGGAGTTCGCCGTAATACCCGCGTATATCGCACGAAATTCAAGCGACTGCGAACGGCCGAAAGAGTGGCGACTTAACCTTCGATACACCTACAACGTTCCCATGTCTCTGTATAGTCGCGAGAGCGCTATCCGGCAGGGTTAAAGTCGCAAAACTACTTGGTCCTCATCCAACAGCTTTTTACTCGCCGGGTTAGCTGTTTCGCATTGTTTGTCCCCACCCGCCGTCTCTCCCGAGCATCTTTCGTTCGCAGTGAATTTTGGCACGCACGGTGCAATCTCTTGTTTCTTGTCTCGTTGGCATTATCCTACTTCCTTAGCCCGATTTAGCGTAATGTCCCAGCGGCAAGGGCAAATCTAAAGTGGGTCGAATTAAAATCCGTCCACTCGCCAAATCTGCCATAAATAACTCGAACGAATATTACGCGAAACGCAACCTGAATTGTGCCGAGGCGCCAAGTAACGGCGCTCCGAGTTTTCCTAAACTCGTAACAAGCTTTTTACGTATCCCTCTCGGCGGCGAGAAATTTATAGCTAGATGCACAAATATATATATATGTATATATATATACATATATATGTTGTGTGTGTGTGTGTGTGTGTGTATGTGAATATATGCGCATGCTTGCATTCAACTTCGTTTAATTAAATCTTAGGCGAGTACGCGTTCTCCATTTAAACTTAACGCGGCAGCCGTCTCGCGCATCTCTCGTCTTTTATAGACTTCCGAAAGATTGTACATCTCCCCTGTGACTCGTAAAACCGAAGATCAGTGCGCCAGTGAAGCGGACACGATTATTATAACAGTTATGCACGGAGATATAAAAAAATATCGCGTCTCTTGTTTTTTTCTTTTTCTTTCAAGAGGGACCACAGAAACACGGTGTCTCTTACGCGACGGTTTCTAACAACGAAGATTCTTTTTATACTCGGAACAAGTAAATTGGATGTGCCTTGCAGAAAGGACAAAGTCTCCTCAGTGAATTCGACGGTGAGCGCCGACTATTGGAGTCACGTGTGAGATTTTGAAAATAAAGATTCAGAAAAAGTTTCAATGCCGAGAAAAAATATTCAACGAAGAACATACTTTCAGTGTGGGATTTAATGATAATAAAACTGGAAGAGATAGGGGGAGTCGAAGAGAAAACGAACGAACATTTTATATCTTTTATCAT